TGATTGTTTAAGAACAAAAAGAGTTTATTTTAATTTAATTAATTTTTATATTTGCTTTATTTTAATTTTTTAAATTAAATTTTCTTTTATTTATCACTTTTTTTGTTTTAAAAAGAGAAATATGTATGTACATATATAGTATATGTTTCCTTTATTTAATTTTATTAAAAAAAAACTTATTGCTAAATGGCGAAGAACATAACGCTAAGACCTCCTCGTTAGCAGATCTTTCAATTAGTCATTCGAAAGACAGTAAAGAGCTTTTAACAGAGTAGGCAGAATTGCCCTGTAAACGAAATCTTTCAAACTATCTTGCCTAATGTGTTTCAATTGTCTGGCAAAAGACTTTCAACTGTCTCAGCCAGAATTTAACTATTATTCCCCAACTTACTTTTTTTTTTTAAATTTGGTACAACTATCGATTACAAAATTATTCTTTCATCGATAAACGAGGAAATAAAATAAATTTTCAACTATCAAGCAAAAACAAAAATATCAACCCTATCAATACACCATGATTTAATTTTCAAGCACAAAAAAAAAAAAAAATAAAATTAACTTTCTTCACTTTCGCTGAAGCTTCTAAATTTTAAGTACAAATTTATACTTTTGGTTTATTTAAATAAAAAACAAATAAAAATCACCTTTAACTATCGCAAAAAAAAAACAATAAAAAAAAGAGGAACATAACAGCCGATTTTAATTTAAATAGTTTAAATTTACCAAACATGGTCGGTCGACAGCTTGAAGGAGTTCCGGCAGCCGTTGAAACATATTTTAGTCCACTGGTTATAACGGGTAAACCAAAAATGCCTGAGGAGAAACCGTCCACGCGCACAGAAATGAGCACATCCTTCAATAGCATTGTGGCGACAGTGCATAACAAACTAAGAAGTACGTAAGTATGTACATGGATGAATAAATAAATCCGCGGGGGGGATNAGTGCATAACAAACTAAGAAGTACGTAAGTATGTACATGGATGAATAAATGAATCCGCGGGGAGGGGACATTTTTGTTTTCTTTTTTTCTCTCTTTGTTTTAAACTTAAATAAAATGTTTTCCTTCCTTCTATTGTGCTAGATCAAAAAGTTCGAAAACTGAAACAACCCAAAATCCCAGAGTTGCAAACAGAGGAGCTGAGCAGCGGCGTCGCAGAAACTTCAGCAAAACATTCTTCTATAGTTAAACCCGAACAGGTTGAAGCCACACCCGATGCGAAAACGATTTCTCCAAAGCTGACTTCATCACTGAAAGCCACATCCATACCACAAATAAAGGCGTTACGTGCTCATAAGCAACAACAACGCATGCGTCATAATGTCCTTAAAATAACCGATTATAATGATCCAGTTAGTCAGAAGCGCATACTCGAGGTTAGAGCACAGAAGAGAATTCTAGAAGATATGCTCATGCACAATCAGCGTTTACAGCGCGATCAACACGCCATCGCTATGGAGGTACAAGCGATGCGAGAACATGTACGAGATTTAGGTAACAAATTGGATATATCACTAAGGAGACTAACAGAGCGACCGATCGCAAACAGTCAAATTTTAGCAAAATCTAAAATGTTTCCAAGACCGCAAAAGTTTAATCCAATGCCGCTACGAAAGTCAGTCATTCCTCCTACTAAAACGACCGCTCCACAATCTATACTGAAGACTTCGTATTTACCGACAAAATCAGCAAATCCAACAGCGCAGAAGGCCTACAGTCCGACACGATATGGATCGAGTCCAACACGCAATGCGGCAAGTCCTACGAGGAATACGGGTACGAAACGTTGACTGCTGACTTGTCCAGCCATAGGCCTACGCACGCGCTGGCGCTAACTTCAAGATATCTAGGAAAGTTGCACGCAATTGGCCGCTGCTGTGAGACAGAAATTGCCAAGCGTATCTAGTCCGGACAGAGCTAGAATTCCGTTCATACAAAAACGTTCCATGGGCAAGATGTGGCCGCATGCCGTACGTCCTGATTGTACATAGCTTCTGAATGCTTGTGGCTTGCTTTGCAGTTAACATGGTCAGTGCGTGTATTTAAAGAAACTTCTATAAAAAGTACATAGCTTGAAAAATAAACAAAAAATGCAAACATTATGATCGCTNAACAGTCAAATTTTAGCAAAATCTAAAATGTTTCCAAGACCGCAAAAGTTCAATCCAAAGCCGCTACGAAAGTCAGTCATTCCCCCTACTAAAATGACCGCTCCACAATCTATACTGAAGACGTCATATTTACCGACAAAATCAGCAAATCCAGCAGCGCAGAAGGCCTACAGTCTGACACGAAATGGATCGAGTCCAACACGCAATGCGGCAAGTCCTACGAGGAATACGGGTACGAAGCGTTGACTGTTGACTTGCCCAGCCATAGACCTAGGCATGCGCTGGCGCTAACTTCAAGATATCTAGGAAAGTTGCACGCAATTAGACGCTGCTGTAAGACAGAAATTGCCAAGCGTATCTAGTCCGGACAGAGCTAGAATTTCATTCATATAAAAACGTTCTTTGGACAAGATGTGGCCGCATGCCGTACGTCTTGATTGTACATAGCTTCTGAATGCTTGTGGCTTGCTTTGTAGTTAACATGGCCAGTGCGTGTATTTAAAGAAACTTCTATAAAAAGTACATAACTAGAAAAATAAACAAAAAATGCAAACATTATGATCATGCCTAAATAGTTCTCCATACTAATCAGAGCCACTTCGATACGTTGACTCTCCGAAACGGCTGGAAAACCGTTCAAATCAAGTATATCTAGCGTCTCTAAGATTATTCTATTCACGGTGCGACCTGCAGCAAAGATTTTTTCTTGGTTAGGCAGATATAGTTTCTTCGTCCTGTTTGTTCCCTATTTTGCAAGTCTGTATCCTGCGAACTAATTTCTCGTTGAATGTCTCCGAGGGGCATCCTAGTGCAACAGCCTTGGAATCTTCCAAGTAGANTGCAGCAAAGATTTTTTCTTGGTTAGGCAGATATAGTTTCTTCGTCCTGTATGTTCCCTATTTTGCAAGTCTGTATCCTGCGAACTAATTTCTCGTTGAATGTCTCCGAGGGCGCATCCCAGTGCAACAGCATCGGAATCCTCCAAGTAGGCTTTGGCTTACGCCAATTCATCGGCCATGTCACTGCCTGCAATGTTTCTATGGCCGCGAGTCCAAACAAAAGAGACGCTTATTGACGCAGACACTGACCATAATTCCGTTTTGCACCTCCGGACGAGCTAGGCTTTGGTGACTGGTGACACTTGGCTGTCAGAATATGTTGCTGCTTCCTCTATTTTAACGATGCTTTCTTCTAGCACCCTATAAGCTTCAAAGATGCATAATACCTCCGCTTGGAGGTTGCTGGCATAATTTCCTAGACGGAGAGACTTGGAGATGCCGAGTTCGTCAGAGTACACCTGTCCACACACTGCAGTCCATCTTTGAACCGTCGATAGAGAGAGAGAGATTGCTTTTTTATCGGCCACTTTGCCTCTCCTCTACTCTCCGGATGGGAATCTCACCTAGTGCCGGTTTCTCCATCTCTGGTCAACACTAATCCTCCGTTAAACATCGTTATCGACCCGCTGTTATATGCGTGGAATGAGAACGTCGATAACGATGTTTAACCGGGGAGTTAGCGTTAACTAGAGTTGGAGAAACCGGCCTTTGCCACGGTATTTTGCCCTGCGTTATCCTCTCAAAAATATTTTGGAGCAAAACTTCTTTCGTTTGACACTCGTATTGTAATATTGCATTTAACCTCTTATTAAACTGAACCGGAAGTTTTAAACTGATGGCAACCCTCTACAAAAATATTAAATAAATAAACCTTACTTAAACTTTTTTCTTCAAAAGTATTTAGCAGTAATCCTGCAAACCAAAGTTCCCGAAATCTTAAGGAAATCGTTAGGAGTATCTAATTTCTGTAACGATTTTTTTTCGAATTTTCAATGAAAATTATATGAAGGGGTTAACACCAACTCGTAAAGAAATTTCTGTACGAAAAATAAAGAAAATTCTGGAAAAATTTTGAAAGATATTGTTCACATAGCACCATTATTTTCGTTGCTTCACAGATTTTCTTCCGAAATTTCTGTGTCTCTACACTGGGGTCTTGTATCTTTCTGTGAAGAATATCATGTCCGTTGTGTTTACGTTAACCCCTAGCCCCGCTCGAAATTCCCATAGGTCAATAACTTTCAGGGCACGGTTCACCACGTTATTAAAAGTACCTACATACATAGGTATTTCCCTGTTACTATTACGGTTATGTCGACAAGATATGCCACTAGTCTTTGTGATTTCCCCTCGAATTCCTTTAGTAATTTTTGGACCGTTATTAGCCATAATAGTGGTGAGAGTACACCACCTTGCGGTCTGCCTCTGCATGCTTGCCTGGTTACCCTAGCGTCGTTCCATTCCGCTCTTATTTTACCGTGGCCTAAAAGTATGTTTAATCCACAACGAGATAGCGCCTACTGATACGATTATATTCATATTTAATATTTAGCTTCATCAGAAATACTTGAATTCAAATGCTTTCTTNAATCCACAACGAGATAGCGCCTACTGATACGATTATATTCATATTTAATAGCTTCATCATAAATACTTGAATTCAAATGCTTTCTCAATGTGTTTTACTAACAAGTGTAGTGCAGTATCTGTGGACTTGCCCTTAGTGCACGCATGCTGTGTCTTGGCCAAGATGCCTGGCGACAGAGTGCCGCTGATGCAAAACTTCAGGCCTGTGCTCTTAAACCATTTGTGATATATAACTTTCAGACGAAGAAATTTTTAGTATGTATTCATTTGTGTATATGTAAGCACATACATACATATGTATGTAGATATGTAGTATCTCTAATAAGCAGATAAAAAAAAAGATTAGCTAGAAATAAAAGGCTTTTTATAAAACGCGCTGCTAAGCAGTTTTGCCTGCGTTCTCACAAAGTCAAGTACTTGGCGTTAAATCTAAAAAAAAAAAAACTGAATTTGAATCTGCAAGATGTTTACGCGTAAGTTACATAATGCTGATCCTAGCAAAGCCACAACAATACCCGATCCTGCTGCACCAAATTATCGGCTCGGCGATTACAGTTATGGCAAAGAAGGAGTGCGTGTCTTTCAGCTAAAGAAGGATGGACCACTGCACAGTGTGACCGAGTATAAAGTGCAATCACATATGCGATTGCGCACACATAAGGAATACTATGAAGGTAAGTAAACAAGGACTTGAAAAGTGCCACCGAATTGAGAAGATCTTAGCCATAAATATAATTTTACCTATCATTTTCAAAGCCGACAATTCGGATATTATCGGCAGCGATGTACAGGAGAATACCATCTACGTGCACGCACAAAGACACGGACTACACACACCCGAGGAATTTGCGCTGACACTAACCGAACATTTTCTGCAAGAGTATGATCTAGTCGCCGAGTCGAATGTGATTGTTGAAGAGTTGGCGTGGGATCGTTTCGGCGAGCAGGAGCGTCAGGGCTACTACAAAGACAAGCGTCATAATCATGCATTCATGCGCAACACGAATGGCACTCACAGTTGTGAGGTTGTGAGACGAAGGGGTATGTGAACTTTGAGATTTTCGAACGCTTTTAGATATAATATTGATATAACATATTTATATATTAGATATTTCTACTCTACATATCGTCGCCTGGATAAAAGATTGTCGTATGTTACTTGCGGTGGGTTTGTTACTACTAAGTTCACCAAATTTTTAAATTATTTAATTTTTAACCGACTTCACAAAAAGGAGAAGGTTATCAATTTGTCGGATATTTATTTAAATTTTTATTTGTTATTTTATGTATGTTACCGCATAACTTTGAACCACTTTAACCGATTTAGATTTAGTTATTTTTTTTTTTTAAAGAAAGGTGTTACCTCACAGGTGGTCCCATTATAATTTGGTTTTAAACCGATCATTGGATCATGAAGAGACTAACGATAATCTTAAACTTTTATATGAGAACTGAAGTTGAATTCGTTTTTTGCTTAAAAATTACTTGTTTTTTTTTTTAGTTTATGAAGGATTTTCTTTAGTAAAATTTTGTCGTATGCTTGATTTGTCAACAATTTTGCATCCACTTTTTATTGCATACGAAAAAATGTGATAGAAATTCGTACTAAAGTAACGATACACAAAAATGGATAACGTCCTTTGAAAGATCTTGTTTTAAGATACAAACATGTCAGCATCTATAACTAAAAGACGCCAAAACAGCGCCTACGACAATTTTTATCCAGGCCACGATATGTACATACTTATGTATATACATGAGACCGGACCAGAAAAAAAAGTTTGCGGTACACCCCTGAGTCCAAATAATGTCCAAATAATTTTTTGCAATGTAATTTCGAATTTTTAATTTTTTTATTCGACTGAACGTGGGGGTCGCACAGCGCACTATGGGCCAGCATTTAAAAAAAAAGTTAATCAGTTTGAGTGAAAAATAAAGGCTCCAGTGAATTGTGAACACTATATCGATGGCTGAGTGGAAGATCGACCTATCTCGGCTGCCAGTTCGAAAACGCTCTATCTCAAAAAACTTTTCAAGAACGCCCTATTTCAGAATTTTATTGAAAAACACCCTATCTCAAAATTCGGTTCAAAAATGCCCTATCTCACTTCAAAATGTATTGAAAATATGCTGTTATAGGGCGTTTTTGAATCGGCAGCTGAGATAGGGCGTTTTTCAAACGAATTCTGAAATAGGGCGTTCTTGAAAAGTTTTTTGAGATAGAATGTTTTCGAACTGGCTGCCGAGATAGGTCGATCTTCCACTCAGGCATCGAAATACCAATTTTGGTTTACTGTGCTGTAACAGTATTTGAAACTACCCCTGTCTATTTTTTGGAGGGCCGCCCTCCTCATTAAATAAGTTTTATCTTGAAATATTTTGATACTTCCAGTGAAACTATTTAAAAAAAAAAAAATTATTGCCGAATGTGTGTAGGTGTCACTGAAAAAATTAAAAAGGCGCACCCTAGGTTCAGTGCTGCCAGAAAATTTTGAGGCTTATAGGTAAATTCTTTGAACAAATAGCTAAAAATTTGTTTCATAGCCAAAAAAATAGCTAAAAATATTTTTCTTCAAAAATAGCCAAATAAACGTTTATCTAAAAAAATAACATCATATTTGAATGTATTTTTTTAACTAGATTATTATAACGCAAACAAATATGAACTCAAATATTTACATACATTGAATTGGAGTAGCAAAATATCTTATAATTGTGACTAGTGAATATTAATACAATTTTAGCTCAAATCTGCAATTCTATTCGTAAAATATAAAAATGACCTTGGTTTAGTTTCACAGTTATATTACCTTTTCATTTCGACGAATCAGTGAAGATATTGCTATAGGGCTGTTCACGATGTTGTGGAAATGGTCTTGGAATTGAATTTGTAAATTTTTTGCTTGTTGCCATGGCAACCGTGTGCATTTAATTGTTGTGAATGAACAGCCCTAATATTTCAGGATTTTTTAAAGGAATTTGGAATTTGCAAAATATGATTATTTCATAAAATTATTTCAAAAACCAAATTAAAGAGCAAAATCTATAGAACTAGGGTAGATAAAATTTTTTCTTTCTTAAGAATAAGTAAGCAATGAAAAGTAGATGTTAAGGACTAAGATACACCCAACCTCATTCTCAAATTTCGTCCTTCTAACTTTACAAAGCTTAAGAAAATAATATTAATTAAAATGGCATTTTCAATCCTCGTAATTTCCGAATTCTCTCTTTCATTTAGTACCCATATTGTTATTCTACACTGTACTGAATTTTTTTAAACAATTTTTTGAAGTAATCATATCTCTGAAATTACAGGGTCCTTCTAAAAAAAATCTGATGCTTGAGGGCAAATCTACAAACGTAGTTTTACTATAGTTTCGTAAGCATATTGATTGCTTCGTGTGTTTCAAATTTTTGTTTGTTTTCGTCGCAAGGAGCAATCGATATAACGAAGAAGGATTATTTAGGCATGTCAGAATACCAATTTTTGTACTGTTTGATATTCATTAAAATGATAAAACTCCGTGTAAAAATGGGGAAATTATAAAAAAATTATAGCTAAAATAACTAACCCGATTTAAAAAAAAAGCTAAAAAAAGCTAATAGCTTAACGTCGAACGTAATATATAAATCTTGCTACAAAATAGCTAAACTGGCAACACTGCCTAGGTTTGGCAAAAAAAAATAATGTTTTGAAAAAATACTTCAGACTCAGGGGTGTACGACGAACTTTTTTTTTTGTTCTCGTAGTTTTTTTTCGCAAGAATGCGGCAAAACCAAACCAAATTGAGAACAAAACTGACGAGAACGTTCTCATTGGGAATTATATAAGCACAAAACCCTGTCCCTGAACGTTCCCAGAGAGAACAAAATGCGAACAATACTTTCTGGAACATCTCTAAGAGAACAAAATCCCCACAAATTTCTTCTAAACGTTTTGGCAAAAAAAAAAACGGGAACAAAATTGTTACGAACTATCTGTCGAAGAACAATTTGGGAGCTTAAGTCCCAGGAACTTTCTTACAGAGAACGAAAATGGAACAAATCTAGTCTAATAATTATGCAAATGAAGTTAACGAAAGATTTAGACACGAACTTTTCTTTAACATAAAATGAAAAATTGTTCCATAAATGGACAGTTCACCATAATGATAAAAGATCTGGAAGTTGAAATGATTCAGCTTTCGTCTGGCTTAGAATTAACATCCGTGGTTCTCACTGAAAATTTTTTTCCTCCGAACACGCAGACGCTTCTCTCATTATTAAACATACAAATTTCAGATGCCCCACCATTGTTGATTGGAAATTTTCATGGCTTGCGTATTGTGAAGACAGCGCGTGCGCCATTCACTGGCTATGTGAAAGGTGACTTATATTCGGAAGGCGATATGGATGATCGCATACTATGTACAGAAGTGCAGGCGCGTTGGCAGTATTCCAAAGTGGATGGCATTGATTTTTCCACTCACTGGCTGAGGGTACGCGACTTGATTCTGCGTTCTTTTGCTGGCGATCCGGTTGAGGGTGTGGTCATTACTAGCGTACAATATGCAGCATATACAGCAGAGCGAGCGGTGCTTGATGCTATGCCTGAGATTTGCAGCATAGCAATAAGTTTTCCGAATTATAGACATTTTCCGTTTGATTTCTCACGTTTTCCACCGATCGAGCCGAAAGCTGATGTCATTATTGTCAGTCCACAGGATACACCTTTGGGCATTGGTTATGCCCAATTGGATCGGCTGGAGGAATAGCTGGCAATTTATACGAACATATTTTTGCGGTCGTTTTCAAGTGAATATGTTTTTAATAAATTTATTTCGTAAATATATTTCAGTGTTTTAATCTTAATAGTGTGGTTCTCATCAAGACATATTTAACAAACTAGAAGTGACAACCAAATCGAACTCTCTTGTAGCAAACTATAACGTGTCAAAAAAACTGTAAATAAACAAATTAACCCATTGAGGTGCGAGTGCTACTATTACTAAAACTTGTATAAATACATATGTATAATAAGTAAGTTTTGAAGATTACTTCAAAATTATCCTCAAAGAATTTTAACTGCATACTAATTTTACGTATATGTACATTAGGGTGGTCTTAAATGTAGGAAGCAAATTTCTACCAGCAGATTTCCTAAGCCTCAACCCCTACGTCGATGCAATTGCAGTCGAAGATATTACATATAAATTTTGGTCACGATTGGAGACGATTGAGGCGTGTCGCACAGGGGGAAAAGTTCAGTTTATTTTCTGCACTTCACAGATGCTTTTTCATAATTCGGAGATACAAAACAAAATTTTTTATTATCATTTTAACGTGTTGCCTCTGACGGGATTAGCAAATAAAAGCAAGCATCTCTACACACTCAGCTACAGCCGATTTATAAGTGTGTTTTCAAATGTTTAACTTGAATCAATTTTCTTCGTCGTTTGATTTGGTTCTGCACTTCACAGAGGCTTCTTCGTAATTAAGGAAAAACCAAAACCAGAAAAAAAAATTATAAAAATTGTGTGTTGCCGCTGAAGGCATTCGTACTCGAATCTGCTGGAAGCCAACAAGTAACAGAGAGCACCTCTGTGTCGACAATCTCATTGTACAAGTAAAGGAAGGTGCTGCCTTCTCGCCCCAATTGAGCTGTGCCCAAAGGTTCTGCAATTAAGTTCCCTTATAGCAGCCAGTGCACATTTAGCAGTATGGTTTTCCGCGTTTAGGTCAATGAGCAGGACGCTAAAGGTGTTCTTACACGATATGTATTTGCATCTGTAAATGTGACTATTTCAATACATATGTAATTGCGTATGTCTAAATTCACAGTCTTTATTTAACTATTTAAAAATACGTTCTTTGAAAACGAAATACATAAACTAAACTCAGATGATTCTATCTGTATGTCAGATGAAAACAGAAACATTTCTATTTCGTATGTACCTGTATCTGCTTTGTACAGAAACAAATCTAATTTGCCTTTACACGATATGTTGACATTTCCATATGTAAAAAGTGGCATGTACACATGCAACTACATATCGTGTAAGAACACCTTAAGTATTCTTTCTAGAACAGCCATTGGAGTGAACTTCGACACTCCAGTGGCGTGAGGGCGCCTAGCCCCGCTCGAGATGCCCTTTAGGTCAAAGACTTTCAGGGCGCAGTAAATCACGTCAATGGTAGTTAGGGTTGCCAACCGTACTATAATATATGATATTGCACTATTTTTTGGGTCTGCGTACTATATACTGTTGGAAAAAAATATAGTGTGCAAAAATATTATATTTCTTCAATTATAAATATATTTCAGTTATTTGTAAGAAAGAAATGTTTTAAAATGAACGACATTTATACTGAAATATCAATATTAAAATAAATATACTTTAAAACAATTGGCCCACAGATCAGAAATGGTAACATTTTTAAAAATACTTAGAAAGATTTACCTAATTTACTTAAAATTATTTCGCTTATGCTCTCTATTCCTGCAACTTCAGCATTCACAAAAAAATTTTTTCTAATAAGAATTTGAAATGGTAAGACGAGAGAAATAAAGCGAATATCTCACTAATAAAAAGTTAAATTTTCATTTATATTAATTTAAATATTGATAGCGATAAAGCATATGGTACTTTCAAAGAAGTATATATTTTTTTATAGAGGAAATGCATAAGAAAGAAAGAAGATGTACACTTAAAAAACATTTTTACTTTTTATTTAAAAAAATACTATATACATATATTTGAAGTGTACAACTTTTTTTCCAGATTTTTTTGAAAAAGTACTATAAATTTCTTAGAAAATGTTGGCAACCCTAATGATAGTGCCACTAGTTTGCATTCTCTCCTCTCGGGTTCCTTTGGTGAGAGTACACCACCTTGCAGTGTGACTCTGAGTGCTTGCCTGGCTACGCTATTCTTATTTTTCCGTGGTCTAAATATAAATATTTTAATATTTAATCCACAACGAGATAGCGAGTTCTACGCCTATTGATACGATGATATTCAGATTTATTAGCTTCATTTAAGACATTATCAAAAGCTTCGGAAATATCCAGAAATACCCCTAAAGCACATACCTTGTATTCAAGTGCCTTTTCAATGTTTTTTACAAACGAGGCGTGCTTAAAATCTTGGTTAGAAGTTTCCTAAGCCTTTCGACCTCGTTTGTTTTATTCAACTTATCACAGAAGTCCCTCAACATAACCAGGAATTTTTGTGTAGAGAATTTCCAGCTGGGGATGTTAAAAATTTATATTATTTAGTAATAAATTTCAATCAGGGGGAACATTATCGCTTCAGATGCAAATTTGTAGTATGTACATACATATGTATGTATTCATATGTGTTTATGCAAGTACCTGCATGTGGTATCTCGAATAAGCAGATAAGATAGATGGTGGATTAGCTAGACATGAAAAGTCTATTATAAAAAGCCGCGCTAATTATTATTGCGCGCATTCTTACAAAGTCAATTACTTGAACTGAAAACTGCAAGATGTTTACACGAAAGTTACATAATGCTGATCCTAGCAAAGCCACAACAATACCCGATCCTGCTGCGCCAAATTATCGGCTCGGCGATTACAGTTATGGCAAAGAAGGAGTGCGTGTCTTTCAGCTAAAGAAGGATGGACCACTGCACAGTGTGACCGAGTATAAAGTGCAATCACATATGCGATTGCGCACACATAAGGAATACTATGAAGGTAAGTAAACAAGGACTTGAAAAGTGCCACCGAATTGAGAAGATCTTAGCCATAAATATAATTTTACCTATCATTTTCTAAGCCGACAATTCGGATATTATCGGCAGCGATGTACAGGAGAATACCATCTACGTGCATGCACAAAGACACGGACTACACACACCCGAGGAATTTGCGCTGACACTAACCGAACATTTTCTGCAAGAGTATGATGTAGTCGCCGAGTCGAATGTGATTGTTGAAGAGTTGGCGTGGGATCGTTTCGGCGAGCAGGAGCGTCAGGGCTACTACAAAGACAAGCGGCATAATCATGCATTTATGCGCAACACGAATGGCACACACAGTTGTGAGGTTGTGAGACGAAGGGGTATGTGCATTTTGAGATCTTTAAACGCTTTTAGATATAATATTGATATAACATAATATCTACTCTACATATCGTCGCTTGGATAAAAGATTGTTGTATGTTACTTTCGGCGGATTTTGCCGCCAATTTGCATGGCATACGAATTTAATGAAAATTAGCAACCCTTTTTACTCAATATCTCGGAAACTAAAGGAGATATGAAAAAATGGATAACGCAATTTGAAAAATATTATTTTAAATATATACATAGCTGCATCTATAAGTAAAAATCGATAAACTGGCGCTTGCAATCATTTATCCAGGCGGTGATATTGTATGTCAATTAGGGTGGTCCAAATTTTATTTATTAAAATGTTAAGTTCGATGGTTTTTGTAAATGGAAACAAAGAATACACGCACATATTTTTGTTAAAAAAAAAAGATATTTACAACTAAAATTGATACTTTTGGACCGGAAAACTGTTTCTCTTTACGAGGCTTTCAATAATAATAGCCAATTGTTTTTGTTAATACTAACGATTTTTATTGAATATTTTGTGGTTTTAGGGGACTCCCCAAATTAAATAGTTAATATTAATTAATTTTTTAATCAAAATTTGGGTTTTGTTATTGGAAGTCTCCTAAAGAGAAACAGAAAAATATTATATGTTAAGAATTCTATACGATTTCTACGAAAAATTGATTTTTCGCCATATAAAATAGTTGGAGGCATTTGGAACTGTCTTTAACTTTAACTAACAAAACTGACTTTAATAACAAAAAACACGTGTCTTCTATTTTTCCATTTAGAAAAATCTTAGGGGATAAGAGTTTTAAATTTCAAACTTTTCTCCACACGTGTATTTTTAGACTACCCTAATCCATATTAGACCGGACCACAAAAAAAAGTTCGCCGTACACTCCTGAGTTTAAATAATTTTTTGCAAGGTAATTTCGATTTTTTTTATGAACGTAGGGCATTTACTCTAGAATTAATTTTTTATACAATTCTTTATGAAATTTACAAGCGACCTGTTGACCCCGATTTTTGAATTTAGGTTTATTTATTACAAAATTTTTAGCGTGCAGAGAAAGTGGCAATTTTGAAGAAAATTTATTCACCCCTTCCAGTTGATAAATTTTATATAATAAAAACTAGTTGAAAATCATTGCATAAGAATAATTTGAAAGGTTATACAAAAAAAATTCACAAAAATGTAATTTTTTTTAATGTTTAATGTCCTATAGCAGATTGAATTTTTTATGACATTTCAAATTATTCTTGTGAAATTTAGTTTTGTTTTGGGTGAAGCCTACATTTGTTTTCAACCAGTTTTTATTATGTAACATTAATTAACAGGAACAGGGGAATCGATTTTCTTCAAAATTGCTATTTTCTCGGCACTTTCCACGAAAAAAATTTATAAACAAATAACAATTCAAACATCAGCTCCAACAGGTCTCTTGTAAATATTATAGGCTTTCATTAAAAAAAAATAATCAAATTGCTTAAAAAATTAAGGTTCCGGAGGATTTCGAACAGTAAATTTCAGTTTCAAACCACTGTGAGTCGCCTTTTTACATTTTAATAATTTAAATTTTTATTACAGTGGACCTATTTAAGAAACTATTTTAATTGCCGAATGCATGTAGGTGTCACCGCAAAATGTAAAAAGACGAACGCTAGGTTCGGCAAAAAAATAAGAGGATTGAAATTTCCTTGCAAAAANCCACTGGCTGAGGGTACGCGACTTGATTCTACGTTCTTTTGCCGGCGATCCGGTTGAGGGTGTGGTGATTACTAGCGTAC